GCCCCGTCAAGTAGCCCCTCCGCTCAGTCTCTCCTGAACCTGAAAAGAAGCGGCGACTGCATAGAATAAAATCCTCCGTGTGTCTCGGGTGTAATTCGGTATGAAGGAGACATTTGTCATTAGGACTTGGGTCATGGAAAGCGGTGGTGTTGGTGGAATGAACATCAATGATACAGGAAAGGGTGGAGAGGCCCGGAGCGGGACCATCCCTCTCCTATGGTTCTCTCTGGGAAACGTTTCATAGTCTCCTTCCGCCTGCTGCGTCTTTTTTGACTCCGGGCCTATTTGGCCGAGTCGTGGAAGGTTTAAGAGATTTCTCGTACGGCCGCTTCACCTGCTGTAAATGTGACCAGGATATTCCGCGAACAGACGCAGACCTCACAGAAATGTGCCGTGTGTCTTCCAGGCGCTCACAGACACGTCCGGGGGTTCAGAAGATAGTCATTCCAGTAGCGTGTTATTATGGAAAGAGATTAAAGCTGAACTCCGGTATACGCAAATATTGTCCACATACAAGAGTCATGTGTGTTCTTCCTGGAATCTCGGTGAGCTTCGTGTATTTCTTTCATATCTGTGCAGTAATCCAATGTGAGACTTAGAGCTTCCTGTAATAAAGACTGCTCACTGCTGCTCTCCTTCCTTGTGCAGGGTGACTGGTCTTGTCTCCGCCCCCTCCTGTAATAAAGACCGGCCACTGCTGCTCTCCTTCCTTGTGCAGGGTGACTGGTCTTGTCTCCGCCCCCCTCCTGTAATAAAGACCGGTCACTGCAGCTCTCTCTCCGTGTGCCGGGTGACTGATCTTGTCTCCGCCCCTTCCTGTAATAAAGACCGGTCACTGCTGTTCTCTCTCCGTGTGCAGGGTGACTGGTCTTGTCTCCGCCCCCTCCTGTAATAAAGAGCACTGCAGCTCTCTCCCCGTGTGCCGGGTGACTGGTCTTGTCTCCGCCCCTTCTGTAGTTTTCTACAGGCAGCTTGTAGCGTGAGCGACAGGCTGGGCCCCTCCCACAGCTCTGCTCTCTGCGCAGGCTATGTGCAGCACAGTGATGACGTCACTGCCTACTTCTATGTAATGATATCTGGGTTTGTAAAGGCATTTGGTGCACACATAGCGGATTTATATCCTTTGTGGCTATTGAGGAATGTTGATTTCTTGGCAGCGTCACGCGATTTTCAATGCAAAACTCGCTGTTTCCTCCTTTTCGGATTTCCTCGCGTACACCTTTACTACCGAAAATCAGCGCACAACAAATGGCTTCTTCTGATGCCAAAATAACGCAGACGGGACCGGGGGAATGCGGTGTTCTGGGAGGGGAAGTGACGGCTCCCCAGTGTTTGTGGCGCGGTCAGATTCCATGAGAACAGACGGAGGGGAGAGTTCAAGCGCTGCGAGAGTCGGGAAACATCTAAGTGTCGTGTTTTTTTTTCTGCCTGTGTTTTGTTATTGTTCATTTTCATTGTCTGTTTTAACGAGCGGCCCGATTCTTTGGCAAATCAATCCAAGTCCAATTTGCTGTAATTGCTTTTTGGAGCGTGCGGTCCTGAGACAGTAAACGAGGATATTTAAGATGCGGCGTTCTAACGTTTAATGGCAATGCTACGATGGCTTTTGGTCAATTTAATTACATTTTTTTATATATTTTCCTTTTACTACCAGTTGAGAATTGATCTTCTATGTCTCCGTACGCTACTTACATAACATCCTTATTATAGAAATAACAATTAAATACCACAATTGTTTTCATGACAATGATTTTGTAGGGCATTCTGGGTTTGCTAATAAGAAAGTCCAGCACTGCCCCCCTTAACTTGTTGACTGTTTCAAACTATAATGGCCATTCGACAATTTTATTTTTCATTATTTTATTTTCTTGCTACACGTTTACTTCTTTCACTTCTTATATAGCATCTTTATTTTAAATATAAATGATTATTATTATTATTATACAGGATTTATAGAGTAAATCCTGTACAATATAAGGAAGACATTACAATCACAATCAAGACAAGATGGTAAGGAGGGCCCTGCCCCTGAGGGCTTATGATCTAAAAGGCGAGGGGCCAGTGATACATGAGGGGGTAGCTGTGTGGGGGATGAATGGTATGAATGGGATCGCCTAAAGGCAGTCAAGGTGGCAGACAGACGGACAGGTATAGGGTAGAGAGTTCCAGAGGATGGGAGAGGCTCTAGTGAAGTCCTGGAGGCGAACATGGGAGGAGTTGACGAGGGAGCTGGAAAGCAGGAGGTCTTTTGAAGAGCGGAGGGGACACTTAGGCTGGGCACACAATTTTGGTCAATTTTATTTAATTTATTATTTTATTTTTACTACAAGTTTATAATTGATCTTCTACGTCTCCCTTCGCTACTTACATCACATCTTTATTTTAAAAATAACAATGAAATACCACGGTTGTTTTCATGACGTTTATTTTTGTAGGGCATTCTGGGCTTGTTGATAAGAAAGTCCTGCACTGCCCTTTAATGTATTAACCGCTTCAAACTACAATGGCATTTGGTCACTTTTATTTTTTGTTTTATTAGTTTTCTTTTTTTCTTCATACTACAAATTGATAATTGAGCTTCTATATCTTTCTTCACCACTTATACAAACATCTTTATTTTAAAATATACATTAAATGCCCGGTTGTTTTCATGACATTGATTTTTAATAAGAATACTTCTATTGTACCTACAAGTTTAATACCTTGGAATAAAAGTTTTACTTTTTAATGTGTTTCTTTGGGGCTTAACAAAATGGGAGTCTTTATTAGAAAAAATGGGTGTGGTTACTGAGGGGTGCGGTCACAGAGGGGTGTGTTCACTGAGGGGTGTTGTCACAGAGGGGTGTGTTCACTGAGGGGCGCTGTAAAGCTTTCTCGCACAGGGCGCCTAAGGTCTCGTTCACACTTAGGCGTATTGCATATGCGCGTCTGTCGCGCGTTTTTTTACCGCGATTTGCGGTTTCCGAAGGCTACTTTGTTGTATCCCAATGGAAACGCGCAACAAAACGGCCCAAAGTAGTACCTGTACCTTTTCAGGCGTGGGCCGTTTTTGTAGCGCGTTAGGGACGGGGCAGAAATACGCCAAGGTGGGAACGAGACCATTGAATACAATGGGATTTATATTTTTGAGCGTTTTGTAGAGCGTTCGTCGAGCGTAGAACGCGCTGCAAAACGTTCAGGTGTGAACGAGGGCTAAAGGCCTAAGGCCGGCCCTGCGCGCAGTTGCTGGTGTTTCGATAGCCAGTCTGCTATTGGCTATTTCAAATGAAATTAGCCAATAGCAGTCAGGCTATTGTCCCGGCTGCTTACATCCATCTATCGCCTGTGGAAGCTGGCCGGCAGGAGAATGGGGCCGTGCGCGCACGGTGGGGATTGGGGGGGCGGTGCCGCTGGAGGGGGGCTGGGGGAATGCAAGTAGCTGTGCTTGCCTAGGGCGCAAAATAGTCTAGCACCGGTCCTGCTCGTGCCCCTCTTCCGTCCCTATACCCTCTGTCCACCATTACCAGGGGTGTTTGGACAAGAGAAGAAAGGGAGGCCGCCCTCATGATCTCCGGCTCTTACCAGTGACTAGCTTCCGTGAACATGCTAATAAAAACAGGTCACACTTATTAACTTTCTCAATACACCTTTATTTATCCATATCATTGTAGGTAGGTTCAAAAAGATGAGTACCAGCACTCATCATATACACTTCCAAGTCTTGAGATTGACGGACATTAATCTCTGTGGATGCCTGCACTCTTCTTCAATATACAGTAACTTTATATTGTCCTTTTCTAGCCTTTTATTTGTAATACTTTGTAATTCTCCTTACTGAGGAATTTTCTTTGGTCTTCCACCAACGTTCCTTTCTTTAATAGTCCTCGTACTCATCAATTTGGGGCCTTAGGACGATGCTGTAATAGGTCTTGATGCAGGAGAATGCAGTGGGAGGTATGTGGCGCCGATTGATGTAATTGTTCTCCAGATGTACAGACACAAGGCTGGAATCTTCAGATATTCTGGTATCGCAGATGGAGTTCAGTGGCACATACCTGGGAAGTTGAAAGAAAGAAAAGTTAGTGCCGCCGACAGGATCTGTGAAGGCTGCGCCACTGCATATGCTCTATGGCCAAGTTTGTGGACAGCTGACATCACACCTAAGCTTGTTGGACATCCAATTGGAAAACCACGGCCATGTATATAAACTAGCTCCTGCCAAGGCTATGACAGTCTAAGCCAGGGGTGCCCACAATTTTTTGTGTTAAGATCTACTTTTCAAATGACGAGCTACATGAGATCTACCAACGAAAAAAAACTCCCTCGCTCTCTCTCTCCTGGCTGTCTCTCCTCTCTCTCTCCTGGCTTTCTCTCCTCTCTCTCTCTCCTGGCTTTCTCTCCTCTCTCTCTCTCCTGGCTGTCTCTCCTCTCTCTCTCCCCCCTGGCTGTCCCCCCTCTCTCTCTCCCCTGGCTGTCTCTCCTCTCTCTCCCCCCTGGCTGTCTCTCCTCTCTCACCCCTGGCTGTCATTCCTCGTTTTCTCTCCTGGCTGTCTCTCTTCACTCCCCTGTCTGTCTCTCCCCGCTCTCTTTCCTGGCTCACTTTGCTGTATTTTGCAAACACTGTAGTGCAACAGGCTATCTAAACTAATATTCTTGGATGTAATACATAGCACTACAACCCCCAGAATCCACCAGAAAGGTGTCGGGGAGCTCGGCTCAGCAGACTCGGGCTAATAGGTAATCATGTGTGTACAGCTGAATAAATATACCAACATGGAATAAAGGGGCCGCCATTCACACCCTTTGTGATCTACCAGCATCAGCTCTGAGAGCTACTGCTAGATCACCATCTACCTAATGGGCACCCCTGGTCTACACTCTACTGGGAAGGCTTTTTATTGACAAGAGGGTGTCTGTGGGACAATGAGACTGTCACAGGTCGGCTCAGTAGATCGGGAGGTGAGCGAACACATACCAGGTTCGCTCGCCTCTCGATCCTGTCACGGCTCTCTGCCGTGACAGGGGAGGGGCTGGATTCCCCTCTCCCCGCTCCGATCTGCCAGCGCTGACGGGCGGAACGGACGGGGGAGGGGGCGGGGACAGCTGGCTCTGCCTCTAGATAGGCAGAGCCAGCTGTCACTCACGCAGCTGGGCGGATCCCGTCATCTAAGTCGGGATCCGCTCCGGCTGCGGCGTCTCAGTATACCGCGAGCTACAGCTTTACTGAGCTTTGGGTCACGGGAGGGCGCTAGTTTGTGTCCTCCCGTGACCCTTAGGAGAACTATGGGGAAAAACACTGACCCCCATAGTTCTCCTTTAAGAACTTACAGATGTCCTAAGCTTTTCAACCAGCCCCCGGCCCCCCTACAGGAAAAAAAAGTCATCCTTAAAGGAGAACTATGGGGTCAGTGTTTTTCCCCATAGTTCTCCTAAGGGTCACGGGAGGACACAAACTAGCGCCCTCCCGTGACCCAAAGCTCAGTAAAGCTGTAGCTCGCGGTATACTGAGACGCTGAAGCCGGGACGGATCCCGACATTAATGTCTGGATCCACCCAGCTGCGTGATTGACAGCTGGCTCTGCCTATCTAGAGACAGAGGCAGCTGTACCCGCCCCCTGCCCCGTCCGTTCCACCAGTCAGCGCTGCAGGGAGCTGTGAGTGACAGTCACGGCTCTCTGCAGGGACAGGATCGAGAAGTGAGCGAGCAACGGTATGTGTTCCAGTTTCATTGTCACACGTCAGCTCGAGCTATGAGGATGACTGAAAATCACTCACAACATAGTTCTCATTTAGGATAAGAAAGTATAAGTCTTCCTTCTCTAAGCTAAACCCCATTTCTGGGACTAAGGCTAACTGTACATATGTAGAGAAATAAATTGATTCCGCTATCCATGCTAAACATTGCTATGCAGATATACAGATATCAGTCCTTTAGCAAAACTAAAGAGCATTCTTATAGGATTGACTTGACTTTACCAGTGCTGGCATTGGATGAACATTACTCACTAGAAATGTGTAGCCACTTAGATTGACATGTCAATGTACAGAGCATTACTTATGGCTGGGCTCCATCAGATAATCACCTAAGTATCAAAGCCACAATGTATTCATCAGAGTTCACGTACCATTGTGCCAACGCCGGCGATTGTGATATATTTTACCTGATTTTATTGAAGCTAAGACGAAGGGCCTGCAAAGATTTTAGGTTCAGAATGCCACGTGGTATGGTCTGCAGGTAGTTATTGTCCAGCAGAAGTTCAGTGAGAGACTTGTACAGGCCGAAGAAAGACACTGCATGGATGCCGTCATCTCTTAGGTGGTTGTGGGAAAGATGAAGGAACTCCAGTCCTGGTTTCATGTGAGCGAATACATATCCCGGAATGAGCTCAATGTGGTTGTGATGCAATATAAGCTGCTTTAATCCCCGGGGTAAAAAGGATGGCACGTGTACTAATCGGTTGTGAGACAAATCAAGGGACTCCACATTCCTGTGGGAACAAAAAGTATATTACACTGGTGCAGCTGGGCAGAGAAAAAGGTCTTCAACCCAAGTGGTGGGCATTGTCCACCACTTGGGCTGGGAACCCAATCCAGGTTCCCTTTTCGTAAGGGCACTTGGTACACTTTTGTCTGATACAACCCCCTTGTTATAAACTAGGTTTGTTGAGTTAAAGTGAAATTAAACCCTCAGATTTTTTAACATAAAACAATACTGTAATGTGCGCCTTCCTGTAATCCATGGTTGTTTCCCTTCTCTTTGCTGCTCTTCCTTTTAAATCTGTATCTCTTCTCATGCTATGGCAGAACTTCTGTTTTGCAGCAGACTGCCTTGTCTCAGGAATGGATACACGGTGTCTGTATATAGGTTTGCAACCTGAGCCAGCACTACAGGAAGAGGCACTGAGCTGAAAAGGGAAGTTCTCCCCAAGCATGAGAAGACATGAGGATTTAAAAGGAAGAGCAGCAAAGAGAAGAGAAACAACCATGGATTACAGGAAGGCGCACATTACAGTATTGTTTTATGTCTGAGGGTTTAATGTCACTTTAAACATCATATGAGGCTACTGGTATTCCATAGTAGACTATATCTAGAGGGTCACCTCTCTACCTCTAACCCCGTCACCGAACGTGTGCCTTCCGGGCCTGGTGGAGGATGTAGCTCCGACCAGGTCTGAACGTACAGGCTTGTAGGCCTAACCTTGGTTTATGCCCCGCAAGGCCATTGCCATGTGCTGGAAGAAACCCGCTCCACCAGAGTTGTCTTTCTGGAAGAAGCTGGCAAATGACAACTTACCTCTATACCAAGACACGTATGCCCACGGAGGATGCCCTGAAAAGTCCCACAAAGTATGGGATAGCTGGCTAGAATGCACTGACCCCGCTATAGTGAATAGCCCGTACAGCTGCACTTCGGTTCTACCGAACCGAAGGGGTCCTGGGGGCCCAAGCTAGCCAAAGGATCAGCCGAAGCTACGGCTGTATCCTTCAGCAGCTTTGTGAATAGGCCCCCTTTGTCTTATAGTATATCTGGCCCTGTACGTAGCAACCAACTGGAGATTACAGAGAAAGCAACACTTCACAGGATGTTAAAGGAGAACTATGAGGGGGGGGGGGGGAGCCTAGGGTGACGGGAGGACGCTAGTTTGTGTCCTCCCGTTACCCTAAGGAGAACTATGGGGAAAAGCCCTGACCCCGTACTTCTCCTTTAAGGGTACCAATAGTATTTCTCCCTAAGGAGCCGCAGTATTCCGGCCTGTACTCACATCAGGTGGATCCAAGCTCGAGGAGCAATGCCATCTTCCATTAGTCTGTTGTTACTCAGGGCAATAATACTCAAATTAAGGGTTTTATTGAGAATTCCTTCATGCACCGCCTCAATGCGATTATTCTCCAAATGCAGCTCCTGCGCAAAAACAGAAATAGGAAATCTGAATATGTGACGTGTGGAAAGACATCTGACAAGTATTAACGGCGGCGTGTTTTCAATGATCTGCTGCTAGTGTTTACTGGCAACATGTCTTCTGATTAAAGTCAGACAGTGAGTGGAGTACAAATGAGAGGCGCAGCTCCCCTTAGGGTCAGTCTAGCGTGGATAGAACGGTGCAGCATGGTGGGCTGGCAGCCCATTTTTTCTTTCACTTAGTAAAAAGGATCGCAGGGCAGATCAACAATCAAAATGTTACTCTATACAGTCCCCGGAATCGGTTATATTTCCCTTTTGCTTGATGACTCTTGAATGGTGAACACCTGCAAGTGCAGATTGGGAAAAGTAAAAACACACCGTCATGGAAGGGAGCTTTCCTGAACTAGATGGAAGTGGACTTGACTGATGGATTCGTCAATTTTCGTCCCTCCGTTAAAAACCCCCAATAAACACGCGGACTGCGCGACGTGGATTTTAACGGCCACAGCCGCCCCTTTTATTAAACCCAAACAACTTTAACAATAACTAAAGTAATAAACCAAATAATATACACAAATAATACTGTAAACGTTGGTTGACCTGAGAAGGGGTCTTTGGGTGCCCAACAGCCCAAAAAAACCTCTCCTAACACTCCACCCATGTCCCCAGCCGCACCACAACCAGCTCGAGGACACCTACTCCTTCCGGGTTCCCAAGGGGCCAGGCCCCGCCCCCTACAAATCCGGACACCAACAGGGGGAAGCACCCATACCAGCTGAGGGCCCCCCATTTTTGTAATGAACTCCGATTTTGTAGACCCCCCCAAAGACCCCCTAACCCGTCAAGCTGCCATGACAAAAGAACCCCCCAACCCACATAACTACAAAATTCAGGCAGGGAGGGACAACCTGCTTCCTTCGTCGGTTTCCAGAAAGAGGACGTCCCTCAGCCCTCGCAGTTCCTTCCAATGCGGCTCCTCCCGGACACCTGACCCCCACGTCCAATCAGGTTAGAGCACCTATTCCCACTTTACTTTAACTCTTTCTCCCAGGACTATTCCTTCCCCCCCCCAAACCCTTTCTCCCGGGACTATTCCTCCCCCCAGTCATGTAGACCCTCTGCTCAGTCTCTCCGGGTCTGTCTTTAAAAGGAAACAATAATGGTTTTGGGTAATTATTTATTGTAGGTTCTTTTTGTGAAGTTTTATACTTTTTTAATGAATATTTTTACACATGTAGTTGCAGTGGCCCCTTTAAGCCACCCAGCAGATGTTTCTCCTTAGAACACCTCTCCCCGCCATGATTGACAGTTCAGGGAGAGAGGGCCAGAAGGATGGCTGTGATTGACTTTCAAGGGCAATCTCTCCCCCTAGCAACGGAGCAGGAGATTGCTGGCTGTACGGACAGAACTGCAACCTCATCCCCAGCAAGGATGGAGCAGCCCTGGGAACCCGAAGAAGTAGGAGGGGTGCCTGGAGGTGCTAGATAAGCCAGGGCAGTACCATTAGGAGTCCAGTGGAAAGCCCAGGGAGGGAAGGGGAAATGTCCTCTTGTGCTGCCTGGGTTGATGGCATATGAGAGCCCTGGGACAGGGCTGGTATGTGCTAAATTGCTGCAACGAGTGAGCCTGAGAATCAGGGGAGGGCTGGGCATGTGGCTGCCATTTCCTATCTGGGTAGATTGGCCCATGAGCCTAGGGCAGAGTGGCCTGAACTGTGGGCCACATGCAGTTGCTGAGGGCAGAAGCTGCTGCAGAAGAGACCTTAAAGGAGAACTACGAGGTCAGTGTTTTTCCCCATAGTTCTCCTTAGGGTAACAGGAGGACACAAACTAGCGTCCTCCCGTCACCCTAGGCTCAGTATACCGCGAGCTACAGCTAGTATACTGAGACGCCGCAGCTGAAGCGGATCCCGACAATTATGTCTGGATCCGCCCAGCTGCGTGAGTGACAGCTGTCTCTGCCTATCTAGGCACCTCCCCCGTCCGTTCCGCCAGTCAGCGCTGGCGGCGCGGGCAGGGGGGAATCCAGCCACTCCCCTGTCACGGCAGAGTGCCGTGACAGGATCGAGAAGTGAGCGAGCGCCGGTATGTGTTCGCTCACCTCCCGATCTACTGAGCCGACCTGTGACAGTCTCATTGTCACGGGTCGGCTAGAACTATGAGGCTGAGTGCAGAGCACCCCCCTCATAGTTCTCCTTTAAGGCTGCTACTGAGCTGTGATCAGTGCCTGTGCTGTGTGTGATAGAGACCCCTGTGCTGCAGAGTGAGGTGCTGCTGTGCTATGTGAAAAGAGCTGTGTGGTGTGCCATCCAGAGACTGACTTAGGGTTGCCACCCGTACGGGAATGACCCGGACAGTCCGGTTTTGGAATCCTGTGCCCGGGTACACTCCTTTGGCAGACCCGGGCACAGGATTCAAGCCGCAGACTTGCTCAACTGACAGCTGGCTGTGAGTGGCGAGCCGCGAGGTGCTACAGTGTTCGGGTTTGGCTTGAAGAAAAGGTGGCAACCCTAGACTGACTGCAAAGATCATCAGTGGCAGGGAAATACAGGGCAGAGCCACTAGAACAGAATCTCCATGTGGAGGTTTGAGAAGTAGACCCAAAGCCTGCCAGGCTACCTTTTGCTTGACCTGAAGCTGAGGCCTATTGTCAATCCACCACTATCCTGCGCCCAGAAGCAACCATCAAGGAAACTATATCACAATGCTGGAGTAGTAAGGGTCCTATAGGTCGCCCTGGTGTGTTGATTTGGCTGTTGCTGCCACCTTGGCAGGAAAAACAATAGAGACAGGCCGGGAGCTATGGAAGAAACTGCAATAAGCGAAAGGCCTACATGACAAGTGTGGGAAAGGGAACCAGAAGATAAAAGGGTTAAAGGGAAAAAGGAAAGTGAATTAGGGGAGGGATACTCACGGGATTGGAGGAGGAAGCTTTACAGGAAGAGCTTTGGAGAGTATCCGGGAAGGAGGAGTCTCAGGAGCCAGCTTGACCAGGAGAAGGAACAGGACTTCCCGCCTGCCCTGGTATGGTTTTAGTGGTGTCAAAGTTGTCGCAGCATTCTGGCGGTTTGGATCCTTGAAGGCATTTTGTCTGGGTTGGATAATTTGACGGGGGGGACCCATCGATGGTGTGGGTGGCCTTCTGTGGTGGTAAGGTCAAACGTGATGACCTGGTAATAGGGACCACGGTGGGTCTGCGGGCAATTTAAGTACGTCCCCGAGGCGGTGTATGGCGGCTGGGGGTCATTCCGTTTTAAGAAAGGTGGCCGCAGACACTGGCCCGAGTTTGGATAGTTATAGTGCCTTCAAGGACCTTGAAACCTAGCAAGTCCTACCGTACGGTTACTTGGTTATTGTTGTTTTTTTTGGTTGTTATTTATAAGAGTTATTTATAAAGTTTTGTAATAAAAGGCTGCTGTGGTCATTTATACTCCAGCCCTGGTGTAGTGTGTTAATTGGAGAAGGGAGGGGATGGGGAATCGAAGGTAAAGGGAGTGGTAGCAGTAAAAGGGGGACCTCTGAGCTACCTTAGTCATGCCCAAGGGCTCCACAAAAGGTAATAAAGGGTAACATGCAGCAGGTTGAGCCGCAGATATGTAAGGAATGATATAGTGTACCAACCTCTCCTGACACATTATACATGGGAGAAAAGTAATAGGTAGTATCCAGCCTGAAAAATGAGAATGTATGTACTGGCGGGGTCTGTAAGTACAATGGTTGCAGTAACTGTCCTGTCTAGGCCTAGTCTGTTCTGTAGCATTAGCTCTCCGGAGACATTGCCTCTATTATTATCTCTCCGCACTTCTTTCTGTTTCTTTCCAAAGAAAACATTTTCTGGACGTGGGATACGATTCTCGTGGTTTATAGACTCCTGCATGCCTGAGTATCTGTATGTGTACACAAATGTCAATGTCTATGCATAGCTCCGGGAGAAGACAGGCTGGCTTGGCAGAGGAGTTCATTGCCAACCGGGATTGTGCTTTGATTGTTTTGGCCAACTCTGAGGACCACGTGTTCACCGCAAAACAGGACTACAGCCCAGGTTTATGATACTGAAAATCTCCAGACAATGTAGAGATGCCAATCCAGATTGTGGCCCATGATCCTCAAAGTCTTGCCACATGATGGTAGACTCGGTCGTATACTGGAATCAATATTTATGGTGCAACCAGCAACTCCGCCTACCTGCCCTCACGTGAGGTGACATCACCATGGACGTAGCAGGATGACAACATGCAATAGTTATAGCACCCTCCAAGCGTTCATAAGTTGGTAAATGTCATTAGGGTCACTTCTGAGTTGGCAAATAGGAGCCAGCTACCACTGAGAGACTTAGGAGACCTTTTTACGATGCTACCAATACGTAATCCTTAAAGGAGAACTGTGAGTGATTTCCACTCCTCCTCATAATTCGGGGCGACGTGTGACAATGAAACTGTCACACGTCGGCTCAATAGATCGGGAAGTGAGCGAACACATACCGTCGCTCGCTCACTTCCAGATCCTGTCCCTGCAGAGAGCCGTGACTGTCACTCACGGCTCCCTGCAAGGATTCCCCCCCCCCTCCCCTGTCCGATCCTCCAGCGCTGACTGGCAGAACGGACTGGGGAGGGGGCGGGTACAGCTGGCTCTGCCTCTAGATAGACAGCTGGGCGCATCTCGACAGTAATGTCGGGATCCGTCCCGGCTGCGGCGGTCTAAGTATACCGCGAGCTGTAGCTCCCTATATACTGAGCCTAGGGTGACGGGAGGACGCTAGTTTGTGTCACCCCGTTACCCTAAGGAGAACTATGGGGAAAAGCCCTCACCCCATAGTTCTCCTTTAACCTCTCCCTGCTGTGAGGCCTGTGCCACAGTATTGTTGCCATATCCTGTTTCCTGTAACCAGTATCCTGTTTCTGCCTTGGACCCTGACTGCTGACCTTTACCCCTGAGGTCTCCCGCTCTGTGGCTCCCGGCCTTCCTCTTGTTGCCCTGCTCCCCAGGTTATGACCGGCCCTG